TAAATAAGATTAAAAAAAAAGATAAAAGAGATAAAAATTAAAAAATAAAAAAGGGTAAAAAAAGAATTAAACAAAAATTACCTTTCATTTTGAAACTACAGAAGATTCTTTAAAATAACGATTTTGAATTTGAATATTTTCTTTTTTACAAGGGTTTAAACTGTCCGTATCCACCAAAAAGGATAAGTAAAGTAAGCATACAGTTAATATCCCTAGCACTGCATTCATTAAACAAGAAAATAATAATGTTCACCCGATAATTTAAACATTCGACATTTTCCCCCGTTTTTACAGAAAACGTGTCGAATTTCCATTTTTTCGCAGGAATCCTAGAATTCTTGTCTTTGCTAAATCCACGTTTAAGTTCTGATAATGCTAGGTTTCAGGTTTCTCAGGCTCTCTCTCTCCTTATCAGAACCCTTCAACCTAATCTCAGCCCTGCTCCTGCCACTACCCGGATAAAATATAACATTTAGTTCAAATATTAATCTATCGATCTTGCAGACAGCTTTATCAGATACACGGAGAATAATGCAAGATTAGAAAATTTGAGGCGTAGGCCAAGCCAGAAATTTTGATTGTACTGTGATTTTAGAGCTCTTCGCACCCCCCCCCTTTCCCAGTGATAAAATAATGATTTGGTTTCCAAGCCAACATATTTTCTTCGGACTTAAAAAACTTAAAAAACCTCAGATTTTCCTGCTTTGATTGGTTTAACTGTTTTCACGTTTATTGGATAAAAACAAAATTCTTCTAATCTCCGCTAACTTTGATAGCACCTAAGAGGCCGACAACATTTTGGATTATTAATTCTGGAATTTTATTTCTATAATTAAGCTTACGAATAAATGGAGAAAATTACTTTAAGGATCAAAGACGACCTTCAAGTCGTCTTGCTACTCGGTTTTGTGGGACCCCCTGTATATAGATAACATTATGTTTATTAGTATAAAATAAACAGTAAATATGTAGTTTTATCTTAGATTACAGCTTGACTGTTTATCGTTAAACCATTTGTCTACTTGATCAGTTTTAAAAACATAATTATTTTTCATATAGATGTTTTAAGTGTTTCCCACTGAACATAATAATTATAGATAGTCTTCGATCTTCAATATCTTTCTTACGACAAAGTGTGTCTAAAGTAAAAAAGTATGTAGGGAAACACCAAATGAAAGAAAAAATCATGAACATTTTTACAAAAAGATCAAGAAAAAGTTGAAAGTTTTTGAAAATTTAGATTTTAGTATTATATTTACATATAATACTGCATAATTAAGGACGAAATTTTCAGAATTAAACACTTTCAAGCAAAAAAATTACCATGTTTTTTACATTATTGTTTAGATCAAGGGTTCAAAGAGCGTGAACTAGGAATGTTCGAAGATACAGTTCAGTGTTCTGTCCAAATACACTATATATATATACAGGGTTACCCACAAAGAATAAGACTGTAAAGACGACCTGAAATTCTCTAAATATGATGATTCTAAGGGTAAATTAAGTCTCCTGTCTGAAATATAATCTTTATACAAGCAAGGAAAGAAACAAGTTTACAATTAATATAAGGAAGCAGACAGTATAAATTCCGTACAGTCGTCTCTGAAGTCTCATCCATCGTGGGTAACCCTGTACTATGAAGAGAATAAAAACTTTTTATTATAATACATTAAGATTATATTAAACTTAATTTTATTTAGTCAAACAACAAATAAGCAGCTGAATGATTGGCGTCTGCTCTATTTCTTTTACTTAGTATTAGAATCTTTTGTGGGTAACACTGTATATGTATATACTAGCTGAAGGGCCCGGCGTTGCCCCTGAAAAAAAATAAAAATTTAATCTCTAACAACAGTTAATATATAGTCAACCTTATAGAAATCCAACGTATAGAAACAGCTACGTTTAGAAACAAGGCGTATTTTCCGGGAGAACATTTCTTATATTTTTGAGAAATTAAACGTTTTTGTAAAACATTGTAGCTTATCACTATCATTATCATAATTTCTATTTTTTTTAACATACCCTAGACATTAGCAAAATAGTTTAATATGTACATTTGTACTGCTCTCTATTGTGTTTAAGGTCCCCCAGATTTTATTATGTACTGACAACATAAATTAATGATTATACGGTTATACATAAAATTGCGTGTTACTATTAAAAAAATTTCTTTAAAGTATAAAAAAGTTTGCAACACGGTTTGCAGTGTTAAATGTCTAAGCAATAAAAAAATCTAGAACACTGCAGGGATACCGTGGTATATCCATTTTATTTTTTCATGTCTGAAAATGATTCTGAAAAAAACAAACAAAAAACTAGGAAAATGTGCAATTATTGGTTTAATTTCTAAGGGAATCGAGTTCTTGCACAAAATCTGATTTTCAAATCCCAATATCTTTGCAATCCCATGTCGAAGACATTTGATATTATAAGCTATGAATTCTTGTAGTAAATACCCTACCCCAGAATAGTTTCTCTAACCTGTATCTTTCCAGGTACTATCCAGTTTCACTTTGCTATCAATGTTTAAACCCGGATACAATCTGGTCAACTATCAATGTCAACCCGGACACGAACTCTTAATCTATCATCGCCACTACCGCAATCTCGTTAGATATCGATGTGAACAAGGACACTAGCAATTAACTATCAATGTCTCAACTAAGACACAAACTTGAGCTATCAATGCCTCAATTATAGGAAACGATCTCGTAAACTATCAATGTCTCAACTAGGACACGATTTTAAGCTATCAATGCCTGAACTTGGACATGATCTTGTAAATTATCAACACCACTTCTAATGGGTGAGATCAGCTATCAATACCCTCCACGGATACAAGTGCACAACTATCAATGCCAAACCAATGTTCACGATCCTCAACCTGTTTATCACAACAGGGAATGATTACTTTCTCGCAGTAATTTGCACAGATTCTCTATATCAACTAGTGTATTTTCGGTTTATATGTTTCTAGTTAAAGTTAATAGACGTAATTACAATTCCTACGTTGCTATTTATATCACATGATTAAGGCAATCATGTTCCGTATTTACGGCACAATTAATATGTACGTCATTATATATCCCATGATTTAAGCTAATCATTCAATTGAAACACAGTTTCAATGAATAATGGTTTTACATATAGGTTTACAAACACAGATTGTTAATATTATACAACTTACTGCAGGTTTACAGAATTTCATGCTACCAGAGATTTGCTACATTCTGTCAGATCAAACAGACTAAGTTTTAAATATCAAAGGTTTACACTGGAAGGTTACAAAAATATAGGGATTAAAAGATATGGGGATTTGTGGCACGAACTTATTCAGATCCGGGATCTGCTCGATCCCCTTAAATAGAAGAGGTTCCGTGAAATATTCTCTTTTTCGAGGTTTTGTGATTCCCATTTTTCTTAGTCGAGGAGGAAATATCCAGGTTATAAGATAGATACTTCTTAATGCAATATATATCCCTCTATATCCAGGTTCCAGGATATATCCTTCTATATCCAGGTTCCACGATATATCCTTCTATATCCTGGTTCCACGATATATCCTTCTATATCCTGGTTCCACGATATATCCTTCTATATCCAGGTTCCAGGATATATCCTTCTATATCCCGGTTCCACGATATATCCTTCTATATCCAGGTTCCAGGATATATCCTTCTATATCCAGGTTCCAGGATATATCCTTCTATATCCAGGTTCCAGGATATATCCTCCTTTATCCAGGTTCCAGGATATATCCTTCTATATCCAGGTTCCAGGATATATCCTTCTATATCCAGGTTCCAGGATAGATCCTTCTATATCCAGGTTCCAGGATATATCCTTCTATATCCAGGTTCCAGGATAGATCCTTCTATATCCAGGTTCCAGGATATATCCTCCTATATCCAGGTTCCAGGATATATCCTCCTATATCCAGGTTCCAGGATATATCCTTCTATATCCAGGTTCCAGGATATATCCTCCTATATCCAGGTTCCAGGATATATCCTCCTATATCCAGGTTCCAGGATATATCTTTCTTTATCCAGTTTTCAGGATATATCCTTCTATATCCAGGTTACAGGATATATCCTTCTATATCCAGGTTACAGGATATATCCTTCTATATCCAGGTTCCAGAATAAATCCTTATTTAGCCAGGTTCGAGGATATATCCTCCTATATCCAGGTTCCAGGATGTATCATTATATATCCAGATTCCAGGATATATCCTTCCATATCCAGGTTCCAGGATATATCCTTCTATATCCAGGTTCCAAGATATATCCTTCTTTATCCAGGTTCCAGGATATATCCTTCTTTATCCAGGTTCCAGGATATATCCTTCTATATCCAGGTTCCAGGATATATCCTCCTTTATCCAGGTTCCAGGATATATCCTTCCATATCCAGGTTCCAGGATATATCCTTCTATATCCAGGTTTCAGAATATATCCTTCTATATCCAGGTTCCAGGATATATCCTTCTATATCCAGGTTCCAGGATTTATCCGTCCATATCCAGGTTCCAGAATATATCCTTCTATATCCAGGTTCCAGGATATATCCTCCTATATCCAGGTTCCAGGATATATCTTCCTATATCCAGGTTCCAGGATAGATCCTTCTATATCCAGGTTCCAGGATAGATCCTTCTATATCCAGGTTCTAGGATAGATCCTTATATATCCTTTAACCAGGGTTCATTATAAATCCATATGTTATTCATCTAACACGGTTTTTTTTGGTGTAAACATATCTTAGAAAAGGTCCAAAATAAAATCAATGTAGATTTTCGATAATAATACAAGTTTTTTTAATCGTATCTTTTATTCTTTTTAATTTTGTCAGATTTTCAAATAATTTTGTATGGAGTTCTTTTATCCCTAGAAAGCAAGGAAATATTTGCATATTGAGTTGTATATAAAGCATATCCCATACCTTGAAGGACCCCAANCGAATAATATCTAGTTCTCTTGTTATATCAATATACACTGGTTAGTAGAGCACAGTATCATGGGAAAGCTCCCAAATACTGTATCTACAGGAAACCAATACACCCACTCAGAATGGACTAATTCGAATCTTGATCATTTTCACAATGCGGAGACCTCCCGACATATTGCGGAGAGGATCCGGGCGGAGGCCAACATCCTCATCTCCGAGAGGAACAACAAGACCCAGATCACCCAGGTTGATGTAAACTCGAAGCTCGGAGACCGAGTTCGAGATATCAGAGAATGGAAGGAGGAGTTGGTCAGAGAGACGGAGAGGTTGCAGGAGGAGACGGAGCACCTCGAGGAGGGAAGACGACATTTAGAATATGCGTTCCAACAGGCCAAACGACCTCTTAAAGTTGCGCTTGCGTGTCTCTCCGAAAGAGAAAACAGGGTTGGGATTGATCAAGTGAAAGATGCGGTTGAGAAAAATCTGAAGAAGGAGGTTGAAAACATCAAGAAGTATCAGGTTCGAATGAAGATCTTGTTGGAGAAGGTTGACCGGCAACTAAATGATAACTTGGAGAGAAAATCCAAGCTGGACAAGGATACAAGTCTGAAGGACGAAGCATTTTTGATTGATCAAACCTGCTTCTCTCTGCACAACAGCGCAGGAGATATCACCCTTCACTGTGGAATAGAGAGGGTGGAACAGTCTGAATCCGTCCCGATATCCTGGCAGGAGAACACTCAAACCCATCTCAGAGATTCAATTAAGTCCAGAGAATTGTCGGAGGGACTAAGGATGGATATCGATACATTGATCAGTGATTCCTCCAAGGACATGCTGAACTACTGGACCAACACCAACAAGGAGTTCCAGGAAAGGATCTCGGAGACCCAGGAGACCCAAGGGAAACTAACCTCACACCTTCATCTCGTGGAGAGAGATATTCTACAGATGGATGGTTTGATTGATCAGCTCCGCTCCACCAAACTAGCAAAACAAGCTCCGCTGAAGGTGAGTTAACTACAAGAAAGATAAACTAAGAAACTCAATAATATTGAGTCAATATATACAAAACTCAACCTGAGCTGGGAACTTTTGTGTTGCAAGCTCATAATCCCTATCCATTGATCTCGATATTAATATTAATGTGGGCATTTTTAAATTAAGGATCAATTCTTAATCTTTGGTAATTCCTTCAGGGTACAAATACGTAAACTATCGAAAAAAGATTAAACTAATCTGCAGATTAACAAAAGATCGAGTTCAAGCATTGATCTCGAAAATCAACAATACAAGAGTTCCCAGCTCTGAGTTGACTTTGTTTACATTTCTCTCCGAATCTCCAGATTTTTAAATTCAAAAGAGTGTCGTTGAACAAAACTCCCGTGTTTCCTTTTTGGGATCTAACAATTGTTTAGATTTTGATTTAAGAGCAAAGAGAATAGAATATATATCTTTAGATCGTTTTTAAACAAATCCCAACCCTACTCTCTAGCACTAGAATTATATCATTTTCTTCTCGATATATTTCGCCAAAAACTTTGGCATCATCAGGAGTTTGTCCTATAATGTAACAGATATAAGCAAAAAATAAAAATAAATAATACAAACACAGCAACTAAAACAAACAAAGAAGAGAACAAAAATAAAAAATCTTTCTATGTAAAATGTAATTTTTCAAAATGAATATTGTCAAAACACATAAATTTAAAAGAAAAATTAGAAAACCGTACCTTACTCTTTTGAAGAGTATTGAATGACTGGAAAAGGATTGACTAGTTTATGGGCGTATGCAGTGGGGGAAGGGGGGTAGAATTCGTCGACAAAACGGTCAAATACATGAATTCGATCAACACTTTAAGGTACTGTTGGTAATACATATACATACAGTTTAAAACAAACAAAATTCATTTCAAAAAAAAAGATTGCAATTAGCATTATGTTTTCTTGTTCAGTCCTGACCTCACTGAGTTAAATTTCTGGATGTAGTATGACTCGATCCCTGACCTTCCTGACCATGCTATCCCTGGACCTGATCTTCTCTATGGGAAAGAAGGATAAATCTGCATAGGAGTGGCCAGGGGCACGAAAGTGTACACCTACAGGGGCCTGGGTATTTTCTTGTCCTAGCTGTGTAATGGTGCCTCTGTGACCCCTCAGCCTTTCTTTAGCCTCTTTCCCTGTCTCTCCGATATATTGAGGATGGGAAGGACAAACTCGGCCACTTGTCCTACATGTAATAATTTATATAATATTCTGTCCTACATGTAATAATTTATATAATATTTGAGGAGGAGCAGGTCAGCTTATCCTTAATCCTCATCTTTTCTCCAGTAGCGGAGATTATCACTTCTTCAACAGTTTTCTTTCCCATCTGTTCACATACAGGGCAACGAGATTTATTACAGGGTTTAAACCCAACCTTATCTCTTTTTTCCTTTGTGAATCCCTGTCTACTTGGAAGTTTAGACTTAACCAAGAGATCCTTCAAATTCTCCACTCTCTGGTAGCATATCTTTGTTTAAGAGATTTGAAAAAAGGAGAATATGAAGAAGCTGAAGAAAACAATATTCTTAACAAAAATAAACCCGGGTTTCAAACCTTTCATAACGATACCCTGTATTAAGTTTTGGGCTATGGTACATATTCCTATATCTAGATTAAAGGTGGTGAAAATACTTGAAAGATATAAAGGGCAGCTAGATTTTGTTTGATTACGGCACTAGTTTTCGGAAACCATTTAAGTCGACCAACTAAACTATGCAATTTAGAACCAAACTAAGAACATTACACCGTAGTTCTGACGAGTTCCCAAATCAAAATTTGATGCATATCAGTCAAGATGTTCAACAGTTATGATCGGACATACAAACAGACAAACTAACAGAGAAAGACAACTTTTGATGTTAAAATACTTGAATTTCCTGGAATAAGTTCAAGAACGATAAATAATTGATGCAGGGATCTCTGTAAATAGCAGAATACGAAGATATTTACTAAAATTACCCACAAAGAAAGGGACTTCAGAGACGACTGTACGAAATTCGTTTTTCCCGCGTTCTCTTGGTACATTCCAATCGTAAACTTGTTTCTTTCTTTTACAAAACATTTGATGAATTATTTAAAAACTTATATGGAAGACAGACAACACATAGTTATATTTTTAGAGTTTTAGGTCGCCATTAAAGTCTCATCCTTTCTGGGTTTCAATGGTTCTGTAAAATATGAAGCAAATATTCTTTTCAAATCTATCAAATCTTTCTTTGCAGGTTGCCCAAACGAGGCTAAAGAAACGAAGCCAAAGGCCAGATATCGAGGCCTGCAATGATCCTCCGCATCTCCGTCTTGTCGACGAGGTCGGGATCATCAACGACACCATCCTCCTGCTCGACCAGAAGATTACGGAGGCCGAGGCCGCCAGGTTGGATCTGGTCTCGAACAAAGCGAGACTAGAAAATGATATCAGAGTCAAGGGAAACTCTCTTGCTATCGATCAACAGAAATGCATGACTCTCAGGTGAGCTAGGCGGGTCATTTTCCGGTCAACTTTCATCCGTTTAAAATTTGATTACGACAGTTTGGAAAAGTTGGGTTTTATACCTTCCTAGAACAAAAAGTGTGATTTTTAATGATGGTTCTTTTTCAGAAAATGTAAAGAAATTGAGTCTTTGCCACAAATCCTGATTTTCTAATTCCAATATTTTTGACAACCAATGTCGTAGACCTTAGCTATTTCAAACTATTAATTCTGTTAGATTGAATGATCTAATTTTGAAATATCAAACCACCCGGTTGCAAATATAAATGGATTTGAATATTTGAGATTGTAGCACAGACTCAATTCCTTTGGTATTCACAATTAACGAAGTCATGACTTTTATAGTTTTGCCTTTTTTTTTACAAAACTGCAAAAATCACCTTAGATATTTTAAACTATAAATTAGATATTTTAAACTATAAATTAGATATTTTAAACTATAAATTAGATATTTTAAACTATAAATTAGATATTTTAAACTATAAATTATATATTTTAAGCTATAAATTAAGTTTAAAATATCAAAGACTTACACCATATGGCTGCCTAGAATTAGAAAATTTTGAGTTTATGCCAAAGACTAATTTTTTTCTCCATTCATTTCTTCCTCAATTTTTTCATTGGGTTCAACCGTTTTTAGATTTAAGAACTAGACATTACACTTAGATTTATATAAAACATATTTTAGGTTAAACTTTCCGTTCAATATTCGCTGCAGTGTGACATCTAAACGAGTTGAACGCAGGAGATTTAGATTAGATTTATCCGAGGACTAATCTCCAGTAGAACACAGAGACAAGGTTTGCTCTGTTCTCCAGTAGAAACCAGGACCTGGAGACAGGATTTCCTCTTTCTCTCTAGTCCAAGGACACGGAGATGTCTGGGTTGCTTTGCTCAACCCGTCTCCGTTTATAGAATTATTGTTTTGTGAAAAATTGTCTTGTGTAAATTAGAAACTAAGGGAATGGACACTTACTTTAACAATAAATTTAACTTTTTCTCTTTTCATTTTTATTTTTATATAAATATCTTTACTTTATGTTCAATTACAGTTAAACCCTAAATAAGCCATACATCGAAAGGATTTATCAAATCTCGTCTTGACAATTTTTTAATGGGGTTTTAACTATTTTACGTAAATTTCAGTATTTGCGAAAATAAATAAATAGCCATGAATATGCGGGAACAGTTTTAAAGAGCTCCTTATAATCATTTGATTAAAAAAACTAAATATCTGCAACATTCCATTATCAGAAAGTGAAGAATACGACATTTGATGAATTGTTTCGATGCATGGCTTATTTAGGGGTTAACTGTATTAAAACTGGAAGTTGTAAATGACAAATAAGGTTTAAATCATGTATTTTTTGGTTCCTCCAGGACTCGAGAAGTACTCTCATCCTTATCTCCAGTCTCCGAATCTACTGTGGGACTTTTGTTTTCATCCTGGAGCCGCTGTCGGAAGAAAAAAGGCCTGGGCCGCTTTGCAAAAAGTGTGTCCCTTAAAAATTATTATTTTTCAATTACATTTTTAAATTAAGAGCAAAGTTTTGGTAATAAGAAATCCATCCGAAATGCTACAAAAGTTAATTTTTTCACTAAAAAACTAATCATTTCATAATGATTCGAGATTTCCAAAAGAAACTGAACACATGCAACAAATTATTATTATCTAATCTCTATATCTTTGCAGCCTGAGGTCAAAGATATATTTCAAACTATTAATACTAATAAAATTTATGGTCCAAATTTTAAATATCAAAAGTTTACTCGACTTCAAGTGTCAAAGATTTTGGGATTAGAAAAATAGAGTGTTTGACAATTATTCAGTTTGTTTGTTGTGTATTTAATGTAGCAATGAAATTTCTATTTTAACCTGAAACGCGGGAGTTTTGTCGTCTTCAATGTCTTGAGTGCGCTTTTAATGGAAGTTTTCCTGGATTTTGTCGAGTTCTCCTTCACGCTTAATTTAAGATAGTTATTTAATATATGAAATTAGGTATTCTATAATAAATTACAAGAAAACCAAAAACGTGATTCTTAGAGATGATGATTGATCAACCTTTCACCGTTATTAATAGATATTTTCGTAGGAAAATTGTTTAGTAAATTTTTGAGCGAACCCTGTCCATATAGTTGAGATAGCTTGAATCAAAATTGAAAACTGCAATGTGGGGACCAACGAGGTTAAAGTGTATAGGGTGATGATGTACGCTAATCCCTTACTAATTGTATAGGCCATCAACTATACCGAGAGCGTACTGCATATTTGTTTATTATAAGTTGATTCTGGCCTAACCTATAGTATATCAATATAAATAAACAGTTGTAAGTGTACAGTACAGCTAACTGAGCACACAGGTAGAGAACTATCATCCCCCCTGGTGGGGACCATGTGCAGTACAATATACAGCGCTCATAGTATTCGTTATTATTAAATATTACAGTTTAGATTGGGTTTCCTTCCGGCCTGCGGATAAGGTTAGGACGATATCTTATTATCAGATCTTTAGAACTCAAAGAAATTGAGTTTTTGCCACAAACGCAAGTTTTTATTATTCCTATATCTTTGCGACCTGATGATATAAACCTTTGATATTTCAAACTTATAATATTTGATCACACAGAATTCATAGTTTAAAATATCAAAGTTCTATAATATTGGGTTGCAAAGAAATAGGGATTAAAAATCAGAGTCTAGAAAGAAATTAAGTCTTTGTAACAAACTCTAATTGTCTACTCCATATATCCTTGCAACCCAACGTCGAAGACCTCAGATATTTCAAACTATGAAATCTGTAAGATCAAATAAAATAATAAGTTTGAAATATTAAATGTTTACACTATCGGGGGCAAAGATATAGGGATTAGAAAATTTGAGTTTGTAGCAAAGAATCAAGTCCTTCGAAAGCGCTGCTAGGGCATCAATCAAGGACTCGGGGTGCTCGGGGCAGGCAGTCTAATTATTGATATAAAACTTGGGACAGGCAGTCAAATTATTGATATAAAATAGATTTTTTTTCTTGACACATAGCTATTTAAACTTTTTTTTGCAGTTCTAAACAATCAAACAATCAAATATATGGTTCTTTTTAAAATGTCGAAGTACAGTAAAAACTGGAGAAGTATGGAAGATGAAGACAAGGGAGATCCATGTTGTGATTCTAAATGGTTTATGGAAGAGGAGATACAGCTATTGTGCAGTGTGCATAGACCATTACACTTTAATACAGCTATTGTGCAGTGTGCATAGACCATTACACTTTAATTCAGCTATTGTGCAGTGTGCATAGACCATTACACTTTAATACAGCTATTGTGCAGTGTGCATAGACCGTTACACTTTAATACAGCTATTGTGCAGAGTGCATAGACCGTTACATTTTAATACAGCTATTGTGCAGTATGCATAGACCGTTACACTTTAATACAGCTATTGTGCAGTGTGCATAGACCGTTACATTTTAATACAGCTATTGTGCACTGTGCAGTGTGCATAGACCATTACACTTCATAACTGATTTGTAAGCTTCAAGTAAAACTATTTGCTTTGTAATAACATCAAATACACTTAAAATATTGCTTTGATGTCGTCTTCCTATTTCACAGTTTTCAGGTTCTCTCTGTAAGAGAATATAAAAAAGTTAAAATACTTTTAAAAGGGAAAAAGTCGAACCTTATTGATGCTTCTACTTCTGTTTCTAACAATGTTGAGTTTCCGTCCGCATTCTCTATGTTCCTGAAACTACTGGGAGTATACAGTTTAGAATCATCCCCGGAGCTAAACTCGTTCACAACCCGATATCCGTCTCCGTCCGAGGGTAAACTTGAAGAGAAACTAGGCTCAGGAATACTCGAATATCTGATACAAATCAAAATTAGTTTAACATTTTTTAAATGGAGATCTTCAAATAAATAATAATTTTCATGATAAAAGGAGCGGATCTGACTACTCGTCTCAAATTCGACTTTTTTAATCTTTTAAGTTAAACTTTGACACTTTTTTCTAGTAGAAATTTAAAATATTAATAGTTTACAAAATAAGGTTGCAAATAGCAAAAGTTGAAAAATTTCAAAATTGGAGTTAGTGGAGTTAGAGTTATCAGTTGCTTCAGATGACATTTATAAAATGTAGTTTTATATGTTATATAAGGGTTTTCCGACTTAAAAGCCTGTAAATATTATCTGCATAATTGAAGAAAGTAATTTCTAAATAAATTCAAATAACTTCTTTACCTGAACCCGCCCTCGAGGCGAGACATAAAATTTGAACCCAAACTCGATTCCATGCTTATCCCATTCTTCAAACCAACACCGGATAAATCGGACCCGGAGAAACTGGAAGGTTTTAAACCGAAATCATCGTTTGAGGTAAATTTTCCTCCAGTAATTGACGCAAACTCCTCCGGTCCAACGTGGATCGTTTCTCCGTCCTGGGACCCGGAGCTAGGATCAGGGTTCAGAGAATCAGAAAACCGTCTGCTCCCGCCCAGAGAAACGTATGGTTGAGAACTGGAGAATTTGCTCAAGCTTCCTTGATCCACATTAGTTGATTCAATGATACCCGGAGTTTCTGAATATCTTGACCCTCCAAAATCTTGGAATGAATTTGATAAACCTGGAGCTATCTTGTCAGGTTCCGTGTATACAGTGTTCTCAAAACCTTGGGAACCTAGAAAACATGAAACCAATTAAACCTATAATAAAGGTTTGTATAGTGTTGAGGTTTACCATGTATATATTTAAGCCTGAATATTCCCTCCCCTGTATTAAAGTATCCCCGGAGAACTCCGTCCTTGTAAAAATCAATCCAGAACTTTATCCAACCCTACAATTTATAACTTGGAACAGAAACTCAATCAGATCAATCAACTTCAACTTGATTATTAGAAAAACAAAACTTTATCATTACTTTTCAGTTCATCAGTCATTAGTTCTTAAATCAAATTCTGAATTCGTTTGATTTGATCAATTTCTGTTTTCAATCCTTTCCCTTAATTCTAACTTTTATTTAATTATTTCAAATAATTCTTTCTCCTGTTCTTTTTCGAGTACATTCTTTTTTTATATACAATCAATACTTTTTCAATTAATTCTTTCTCTTGTTTTTTATTTAAATTAATTCTTTCTCTTTTTTTCAATTAATTCTTTCTTTTTTCTTCCATTAATTCACACTCCTGTCCTTTTCCAATTTATTCTTAATCATATTTTTTCAATTTATTCTAAATCCTATTTTTCAAGTTATTCTTAATCCTATTTTTTCAATTTATTCTAAATCCTATTTTTCAATTTATTCTTAATCCTATTTTCCAATTCATTCTTCAGCCTATTTTTTAATTTCCTCCCAAATCATTTCTCAAGAACACTCCCTTTATTTTAAACCGGAAGTAACTAACCTGTGAAGGATGGTGTTTCCGGTTTTATCTCTGAGTTGAAACCAGGTTCTGATCCAGGTAACCCATAACTATTCTAAATACATAACTGAAAACTTTAGAATTGGAGACCCGCAATCCCGGTCGCTTAATCTCAATATCCATTGTGGAAACTTTTGATCTTATTGTTAATCCTCTCTTTTGGATATCCCTGCAGGATTACGCCAGCAAAATTTCAAAATGTCTCGGCAATCTGATCTGCTGTTCGGATTGTTGAATTTTATACACTTAATTTCCAGGGTACAAACTAATTAATCTTGATATAAATAAAAAAACATTGATCTCGATATCCACAATTCTAAAGTTTTCAGCTGAGAGTAAATATGCCGATATTCCCAATTGTGGAGTGAAATCTAAGTTAATAAACTTGCGGGAGAACGCTCCTTACATCACAACAAAGATTTGAACGAAGTCAACTGGTACAAAAAAATTATCCGGGATATGATATACAGTAAGAAGCAGATAACTCTGGTATATGAAGACGACTTTTAGAATCAAATTAAAATTTTAAATAGTCCAATGTACAATGAGACGCGGCAATTGGGAAGTGCCAAGAGACCCATTTCACTTAATAAGTGATTTAATAATTTATACACTATTAAAACTATGTGCTTAGTAACAAATGTACTTGAGTATATCACTATAATGTCGTCATTGCACCCCCCTTTCAGATGAAAGGGGGGTGCACCTGTCCCCCTGCACCCCCCTGGCTACGGGCCTGATACTTGCCCAGACTAAAGATATCGTTGTAAATCGGGCATTGCCATCTTTGCATGGAGGGTCACTTGGAAATTACCCATTCAGTGGGAACACCAGAATAAAATTAAAAAGAAGCGGATTCTAAGCTCTAAATGAACCTGAAGGTTTTCGTGTCTAATTTTATTATTTGTCCTGAAGTATTATTAATAGATTCAAAGTATTTATTGGTTTGTTGTGTCTAGACAAAACTAGAAAACAATAAAAAAGTATTTGTTGATAAAAATCTAGATCCCCCCCCCCCAACCC